GATAATACAACCATTATTACTACTACTCGTACTACTAGTGGTACTAGTATTTGTGCTGCTACTACGAGGACTACTACTACTACTACTACTACTACTACTACTGCTGCTGCTGCTGCTGCTGCTACGACGACTACGACTGTGACTCATGCCGTTCGCGATGCTGGAAGATTTTCTCCCCCAAGCCGGGCTGTGAGCCCTGGGAAACGGAATCATTTGTGGACTCCGTGGCTAGGCAAAGTCGAGCATGCAAAGAATGCAACAAGGTTCTGGCTAGTTCGATGTCGCAAAGGCTTGCTGCAGAGCGACCACAACTTCAGGATGTTGTCCCAAGGAGTCTTTGCGGAGAAGCTGGGTCATGCTGATCAAGTCGTCCAGGTTCGTAGCCAGCAGCGGGTCCGCTTCACACCATGTAGGGTAGCGATCACGGTTGAAGTGCGCATAGTTGAGACGAAGGTAGCCAAGGCAGTTCAAGAGGTACCACCAAGGTCTGGACATCAACCGATTCTCTTGTGGCAACAAGCTGGAGAAGTTGGCCCAGAGTCGCTCACACGGCATGGTGCCTGAATGCACGATTTTTTCACCAGCCTCTATGAGGGCTTGCGCTGCCAAGCGCCACCGCAGCAAACCCTCCATACGATGGTCCAACAACGTCCTAAAATGCTTGCGGACCTGAAAGGTAACGGCGCTGCGGCGGCCGGGTTTCCAGGGCGTGTCCTTCATACCACGGCGTATTCCGCGCTTGCGGCGGCAAGACTTGCGGCCTGGTGTGTACCAATCCAGTATACGCTGAATCTCGACCCGAAAATCTTCATCACAGCTGTAGCCATGGCCTTGATTCCGGGCATGAAGGACTGCATCAGCAGCAGCAGCAAGTCTTTGTAAGGTCCTTCGCGGTGGAATGGCATGGAAAGTTGTGAGCCAAACCGGAGCCTTCTGGACATTGGGATGCTGCAAGAAATTGCGCAGCTCCGCCGAGACTGAGGGAGCAAGTTTACCTGCCTCGGCTTGGTATTTTGATTTGGGTAGCTTGACTGCGAGCTGCAAGAGTTCAAGTGCCTTTCCACGCAATTCCGGAGGGTCGACCCTGGCCTGACCGGCTGCAGGGACGTGCTGTGGGCGCGACAACCTGAGGAGTGCATCTTTGTGGTCCAACAACATGTCAAAGCCATCATTTGCGTAAACACTTGTGAGAGAGCGAAGTTTGAACAGGTCGTGCAGAGGCTCACCCGCGATGATGGTACCCTCGCCATAGAGGTCGAAGGCACGCACCTTCTTGCCACTCGCAATGGCTTTGGGGGTCTCGTGTGCTGGCTCGAGTCGTCCTTCTGGAAAAACATCCTGGAAAAGCTGCTTCAGCTTGAGGTGATGCTTGCCGTAGGAGTCTGTGGTGAAGAACCTGTTGCTCACTTGCACAGGAATCAAAGCAGGCTGGTGTGGTTGGGGCGGGCCTCAAACAAGTGGGATGGATGTTCATAAATATAGCTGCGTGCGCATGAGTCGTTGCAACGCAAAGCTTACAACAAGCAAATTTTAAGGCAAGACGCACGGGGCGAGCTTCCTGAGCGGTGTATCCTTGTTGCAGGAAGGTGGCTCGGATATCTTGCAGCAAAGGCTTGAGCACGCTGCTGATAGGCTCCCACCATTCACCTTTCAAAGGAGACAGCAGATCCAGGAGCGACCCATCGGTCCCACATAGCCCCAGCAACACCGTGCAAGGGTCTTCGGAGTCATCCAGCAGCAACCGTTTAGCAATTTTGAAATTTCCATCGATCCGGATGCCCTTGCTATTGTAGAGGAGCTGGCGACGACGCATTCTTGCCACCTGTTGCTGCACAAGCGTGGCCATGCCCTTCAAGAGGACGCCTCGCACCACGGCGTTCTTCGGAAGGCAAGAGACCTGCCAGGCCAGGCTATAAGGCGCTGTCCCTGTGAAATGCATACTCGTTGATCCGTGGAGGGCAGCAGCGCTGTACCAGTGGGCCATACCACGGCGTGCAGCTCTAGCATTCAAAGTTTCATAGAAGTATTTGGCGAGCTGGAAGAACCATGAATTTGTAAAGAAGCAGGGTCGCTGATGTGGTTCCCGGTGCACAAGACACTGGAAATGCTTACAGATATCATCATCTGTAACTTGAAAGTACTGCTGAAAGGCATCGGCCTGCCAGCCCTGGAGCTTGTTGAGAGGCAAGCGGTCCGCGATTGCTCCTGACAATACAAGAGTACACTTGTGATGGCAAGCACAAGGCTTTCCGTTCCGCAACTAGTT